TGGGAGGGCGGAGTGATTTAGAGGGGGAGGACAGAGTTATTTATAGGGGGAGGGCGGAGTGATTTAGAAGGGGAGGGCGGAGTGATTTAGAAATAAAATTTTGTGGTTAGAAAAATAAATAAATGAACGAGAATGTATCTTGTAAAAAATTAGTTTCTTAAAATTATTGCTCCAAATTGTTTAAAAAAGATACAACATGGGAAGGGGGGGGGGTTACTCCCACTAAACATATTTGTGTCAATTATAAAAAAAACAAGACTGTTAGAAAATAAGCATTTTTTTGCTCATGTTCCAATTGTTTCCAATGGATTTTTTAAAAAAGAAACAACATTTATGATCAATTATAAAAAGGATTCCACGCACATTAATTATTTTTTGCAATGACTTGATTTTGAATCCCTCTGAAAGACGATTTTTCTCTATTTTGTTTGTTAGCCTTAACGATATCGTTTTACATAACAGTGTTCGATATGGGTTTAAAGGTTTTTTTTGTTGAGCACAAAGTTAATTTTGAAGTAATTACCTTAAAGTTGGGTGTATTTATAAAACATCTGGGGATAAAAATAAATTATATTTTGGTGCAAATTATGAATATTTGGTGGCATTCTAAAAAAGGGGCAAATTTAAGTCTGGTGGGGAAATTTGAATAAAATGTGTGAGTATAACTTTAAAAATCCAATTTGGAGGCATTTTTTATCTAAAAAGTTTAAAAACTTAAACAATTGAAAACGGACATAAAAACTATGCCAATAAGAAATTATGAGTAACTATATAAACTCTGCCATAATAATACAATAAAGACGACTTTCAATATAATTTTTTTATTTTTACCAAACTTTCACGCAGCATGGATGCACGTAAACATGGAAAAAATTAGAAGCGGTTAACTATCAGCTTCTCTTGTTTACTTGTAAACTTGTAATTTGAAAAAAGCTTGTTATTAATCAAAACTTACATAGAAAAGTCGTCTTTATTTTACTGATATGAACGCCGACCAATGTAGTTAACGTCAAAATTAGAAAATCTGAGTTTGTGGCGAGTGATCAGATGATTAATTACCGTTCCGTAGGTATTCTGAAGCTGCAGAGCGTATTCATTATCTTTAAAGAACTCATCCATGGAACCAGAATCAGATATTGTACTTCCATACACTGTCAAATCTAATCTACCAATCTAGAATTCAAAGTCATTGGATTTTACAAGTTTTTACTACAGTAAAAACCAGAAGTAGCGTTGTCTTCTACAATTTAACACAGAAATTCGGAGACCACGAAAAATTTATATAAATGTCGTCTTGACAATTTTTCAATGGGAATTACATTTTCAAAAGCCATAATATTATTATGTCTGCTAGAGTTTATTTTATGAAAAGGGTAAAACACTGTAAAGATGTGTCTATAATGTCTCCGCAAGATGAACAGTGAAGACGGACAAGTTTACTCTGTTTGTATACTGCAATTTTCTTGTTTTACTAAGTACAACCGTATGCAGTCAAAATATAAACAAACAAAATGTGAACATAGCAGAAAAAACTCTTACAGATTACAGCTTTCTCAGTAGGTAATAGGTATCACTATACTAAATCAAAGAATTATCTAAAAAGACGATATCGAATTCGTCACTGAATTCTCATGTTTATTGGGACACCCTGTACAATATTTCACTTAAAAATTTTGCAAAGAAAGCGGCAAGCTTAAACCTGCAGTCAACCGTAAACGCAAGAAATTCGAGAAAGCACATTTCTTAACTTAGAGAAAGAACAAAGGCGACAATCATAACATCGTTTTATGGTTTTCACTGAAGCTTAACTAACAACAAAAATCCAGCAAAGGAGCTAAGTTCAAGCCACAAACTCAAATTTTCAAATTTTCCTACAACTTGATGGTTTTAACCTTTGATATTTCTAATTCTAACTTAGACTAATTGATCTTACAACTCGAAATATCAAAAGGTCTACAACATAATGTTGCAAACATATAGGGATTTAAAAATCTGAGTTTATGGCAAAATTTTATTTTTTTTAATAATAGAATTTTTTACCGTTTTATCGGCGGTAAACGTCCAGAAAGCTCTCATATTCCTTTTCAGCTTTTCAGAGGGTACTACATATAAAACATCTATATATTTGTATATATAAAGAAATAATCACTTAACTCATGAACCCCTTAAATAATGTGCCTCGCGTTGTATTGGGGAACTTGGTATAGAACAAGGGGAATGTTCTTAGCTAATGGTTCAATAATTCTAATTTTAGTAATTTGAGTTTGACTTCTACTCAGAATTTTTTTTCCATGTTAAGCTAGGCTTCAGAGGGAGCTACATATAAAACATCTGTATATTTGTATATATCTTCTTAAAATAAGTCTAGAACATGTTCTATTGTTTATTAAGATTGGTTATTGCTGGACACTGTATTTCCATGCTAGACTTTCTTCAGCAGCATTTGTTTATTTGTATATATATGTATTGTATATATGAACCCCTTGACTCCTGGGAACCATGTAAATTTTCTTGGTGTGATCTGGCGGAAAATAAATTCTATTCTGATTATATTCTGTTTAATGTTTACCTGACACAACTTGATCGCTGAGCATAACCTTGATTCCATCTCCAGAATCAGTATCAATCATAACACTTGGGACAACTAGGATACATATCCAGTATAATAATAGATCATTTTCTAAGGTACTGTTGACTAAGGTTTATTTAAACAGTTCCACGTCCGATTCACAACTCTGTACCTGATGTTGCAAGCTCAAACGCAAACCCAATGAAAAAATTTCTGATAACTAAAAAATCTGAAGCTAGAAACAAGTGAAATGGATCTGTTTACACTGCACAATGGCTGTGTCTCATGCTCATTGGACTTTTTAAAGTTATAATTTGATTCTAAAATTCGGCATCCTATTTAAGAGTTTCTGGTATATCAGAACTGAAAAAGGATATGTGAGGATAAATCAACGGCCAAGGCGTGGCGACACTTTAAGGTCGATTCAGTCCTGAAAATTGATGCAACTTTTCAGAGCAGTCTGGAGCAGTCAGATATATGAGGTTTACAAGGTACTTCTGGGAATCGGACATGTCACTCTTTATGTAAAGGGTCTCTTTAAATCACAAACATTTTTTAAGACAATATAATGTTTAGCGGGTTACATACAGGGTGTCCCACGAAACATGACAGTTGGTAAATAGTTTTATGTCTTCTTCCATATGCTGTATTAGATATTAATGACTTTTTTAGAGATAACTTTTTGGTTAAAATTATCATTTCATATAATTAGAACTTTTATGTCATAATTCTTTAATTAATATTTGCATAAATGCCTAGACCAGAAAAAGAAAACTCTGAAGTTTTATTCAACAATACTCTCTTAAATTTCCGCTTCTGTATAATAGACATTAAATCCTATGTAGAGTGATTGGACCTAGAAGTGTGCACATTTTTGTGTCCAGGTCGTATTGGTATGCATTGCATCTATTCAGGATCTAAATCAAAAATATTGTTTCTAAAAATATTGCTAAATATTCTGCAAACTATTTTCAAACTTTTTACTTGAAATTTTTTATTTTAAGAAATAAATATGCATGGAAAAATTCTAAAATCACTTTCTAAAATGTTTAGTAATATGGTTCGTTTTTAAGGTTTCTGGACTTTTTATTTAAAGGTTCCAAAAACATCTTTCGAAAAAGCTTTCTTTACATTGCCAGATTTTGACACTATAGGAGATCCATGTAAAAAATGAATAAAAACTATCGTTTTTAAAAGGTTTTTATTGTTTAGGATACAAACTGGGCATAGTTCGATAAAAGCAAACTTCTACAGTTTACAGTTTACAGTTTACAGTTTACAGTTTACAGTTTACAGTTTACAGTCTACAGTTTACAGTTTACAGTTTACAGTTTACAGTTTACAGTTTACAGTTTACAGTTTACAGTTTACAGTTTACAGTTTACAGTTTTGAAATATTGTAACATTCACACATTCACACATTAATGTGGACTTTGAAAAAGTAATAAAAATTCTTAAAACAAGGAATTATCACTAATTTATTTTCTTAATTGTCATGAATTTTTGAAGTCTCCTTACCCTTTTTATATAAATCAAACAACGAGAAGCACAAACTATCTGAGTTTCAGTCCAGGCAGGTGGCTCCTACAAGGTACAGAGTGTCCCCCAAAACATGACAGTTGATGAATGGTTTTGAATGTCTTCTTCCATATGCTGTATTAGATATTGAATAATTTAAGCAGTTTATTTCATTAAACAAATCATTTACTCAAATATATTTCATTTTGAAATCCATTTTGCTATGATATGACTGCCATATAATATTTTTTATTATTCTCTTTGGTATCAAACAACTTAACAAATTATAGAAGAAGACATTTAAGCCTATTCACCAACGGTCATGTTTCGTGGGACACCCTGTAGACTAAGAATATTGCAACGAATTTCTAAAAAACGTTGATAAAATTCGACAATTTTTAGTTTTTTATATTCTAAAAAAGAAAACAAAATTAACACAAGAATAATACTGCAATCAAGCAATCTTCTTTGAAAAAAGTGAAATTATTAATATAAATAGGTCTGCACAATGTTTGGTGTCGTGTTCAAAGCACCATCTAAATAATAACTCGAGTCTAAAATGTAAATTGTCCTTTTATTGGAAAAAAGGTTTCACTCTCGCATATAGAAAAACTTGGGTTTGGAAATTAATTTCGATATACTTTTATATCCTTATCAGTCCTACAGAAAATGACCTTAAAGAACGGCGGTATTAAAAAATTGTGTCCGAATTTAATGAACTTAAGCCGCGTCCCAATTCCCAAAAAAACCGGTTTTAATTGAGCGCCGTCTTAAATCTTGAAAAATTTAATACAAATTTGAGAGGAAACAACAAAATTTGAGCAGCAGCTTAAATTTAAATCGCGTCTCAAATTCTTTAAATTCGGCCTGAGGAGTCTAATAATTGTCTTCCTATTTCACAGTTTTATGGGTCCTGTCCATGTTTGCAAATAGTTGCAATTTTACGCTTTTTATTTTACCTGTTTGATGATAAACGATGAATCCTTAAATTAATCGTAAATATATTTTTAAATATCTTAAATTTATGTTTTATAATTTTGAAAAGTATTTTATTAAACATATGATTTAGTTGCATCTGATGATAAAAAGGCTTAAAGGGACTGTAAGCGTGACCCGGACATACAAATATGTCAATGCTCGAATCACAACTCCACTTTTAAAAGTTTTGCCTGGTCAATGATATTATTATTAAATGTTTATAGTTTAAAAAACAGATTATTTTGAGTTATGGGTAATTTACAGGAAACACAATACGAATTAATTAAAATCTTTTAACCCTGAAAAACAACAATATCTTCCACATTTTTGATCATTTCAAGTATACCATTGTGAATCGGGCATTGCATCAGGATATTTTGTTGAAGTAAAAAATAAGAAAAATATATTTTTAGATTCCTTGAGGTATCCTGCTCTGAAGTAGGAGGAATAGGACCCAGTAACAGCAGAAAATATCAAACTAAACTTTTTAACTTATAATTTTCATGAAAGTGCTAAAAGATAGCGAATTTGACAACTCGACTTTTCCAAGAAAAAGAAAAGAAACAGAATAAGTGTTAAAAAAATAAAAGATAAAAAAGCGAAAGAGAGAAAAATTAAAACAAAGAGAGAAAAATTAAGAGAAAGAGAGAGAAAGAGGAAAAGCTATTTTCTCTGTTCTTTGCATGGTAAAGATTAAAGGATGAAAGGAAAGAACAAAGAAAAGTAGAACAGAAAAATGTAGAAAAATAGGACGGTTAAAAAGAAATACATTAAAATACTGTCAAAAGTCAAAACTGCAATAGTAAGAAAAGTTCTTTATATCTAATAATATAAAACCCTTAAAAAAATATGACTTTTTTGCATTCTCCTTCTGCATTTATCCCGGAGACATGATATGACAGACTGCATGATCACTGATCAGTGATCGAGAAAAATACGAACTTTTTTCGGGTCAATTTTGATCCTTAAAGGCCCCGGAACTTTTCCTGAAGCTGTTAAAAATAATAAACCATCAAAAACTTTTGAAAATGATGGATGTAACGCGAACCTTTTTAACTGAATAAGGAATATATCTACCCCCAAACAAAGCCAGGTATGGCATGATCAATTCCATTTAGAAAATCATCGCGTAAACTATTTTCAGGATGTCACACCTAGCTCTGTATCTATTTGAAAATCGGTTAAGGTTGGTTCTGCCTTAAATTTTTTCGAAAGTTTTTAATGGTTTAGCATTTTTAACAGATTCAGAAAAAGTTAGCTGTAAGGACTTAATGGATCAGAAGTGATCCAGCAAAAGTTTAAATCCTGATTTCTTCTAATTGCATTTGAGTTTTGAATAATTTTGAAAAGTTTAGTTTTCCTAAGAGCTGTTAAGCACCAGACTAATAATATTTGATGTTGCATTCTTTTCTTTTTCTATTCCAAGACTGACAACGTGCAACCAGACTTAATCATTTTAATTTTTAATGAAATCATAAACAGAGGCCAGTGCTAGGCAGTTTTCTAAGGGACTAACGAAGTGACCCCTTATACCCGAAGCGATTAACAATGGTACCGTTTAAACCTTCTTCTGAGCAAAATTTATGAACATTCTCGTTTTTTCTTTAAATTTTAATTTTGAAAAACAAAGACATCTTTGTTACCTATAGAAAGGCTTAGTTTATAGGGTACCGTTGTCAATCAGAAAAAAACACTCTAAATGATGGATTATTTGAAATAATGTCTACAGTTTGGGTTTACAACGAAAAGGAGAAATCGTTTCGCGAAAATTTTTGAGATTGCATTTCGTTCGCTCGCGAAAAAACGAAAATTTCGCGAAAGAAAAGCGTAAATTTCCAAATAATGTCTACAGTAAGGGTTTCCAGCGAAAAGGAAAAATCGTTTCGCGAAAATTTCTGAGATTGAACATAGAATGTAAAATCATCCTGTAAATATTTGCTTTTATTTAAAAAATTAATTGAACCTCCGCCACCTGCCAAAATTCCATAAAATTTTACAACCATAAATTTTCTGTTTATATTTATAGATCCTAATTGCAATAAATACGTTAAATATTTAAATATTTCACAATCGATGGATCCATGAAATCTTGAAGTATCGTTAATAAATTATAAATTTGCAATTCGCAATGCACTTACTTGAGAAAGCCTTGGTTTTTAGGCTTTAAATAGACTCTATAATTCAGGGTCAAAATATCATACTCCATTTTCAAGGATTAAACTTAAGCAAAAATTTATTCTAAAATTCATTTATTAATAGGGTGAAAAAACATAGCAATGTGCAATGTGCAATTATAAAGGTGTGTGTGTCAGTGTGTAAATTTCGTCGATTTTATAAATATTTTAACTGTTTGTTTTGTCTCAGATAATATATGTATCTGGTTTAAAAACTTCGGATTTTCAAATCTAAAATTTAACACCTTGACTGCAGCCCTAAATGTATACAAATGTTATTTATAACACTTTGAAGATATTAAAATCTGACAAAAAAACTTAAAAGTAAATGAGCCTAAAATTAAAAAAAAAATTTGTGGGGATCCATCTCAAACACCAGCATTCTTTATAAAAGCACAAAACATATTGTAACAGATGAATATGAATATTCAACTAATCCCATCAACCTTGAGTATTTAGTTAAAAAAAATAAAAGATAAAAAAGCGAAAGAGAGAAAAATTAAAACAAAGAGAGAAAAATTAAGAGAAAGAGAGAGAAAGAGGAAAAGCTACTTTCTCTGTTCTTTGCATGGTAAAGATTAAAGGATGAAAGGAAAGAACAAAGAAAAGTAGAACAGAAAAATGTAGAAAAATAGGACGGTTAAAAATACCTTTCGTTCCTTAAACCCTTTTATAATCCACCCTTTGTTCCTTAAATCCTTTCATAATACACCCTCCGTTCCTTAAACCCTTTTAAAATCCACCCTTCGTTCCTGAAACCCTTTCATAATTCACATTTTGTTCCATAAACTCTTTTATAATCCACCCTTCGTTCCTTGAACCCTTTTATAATCCACCCTTTGTTCCTTAAACCCCTTCATAATCCACCCTTAGCTCTTTAAACCCATTTATAATCCAACCTTCGTTCCTTAAACCCTTTCATTATCCACCTTAGTTCTTTAAACCTTTTTATAATGCACCCTTCGTTCCTTAAACCCTTTTAAAATCCACCCTTCGTTCCTTAAACCCTTTCATAATACACCCTCCCTGCCTTAAACCCTTTTATAATCCTTATCCGTATAATTTACCCTTTCCTGTAATATGTTGTACTCTAAAACCTAATTTATTCTGCTAATGTATTTTAGAACTAGTTCAAGAAACCAGCTTTCCATGTTTACAATTCATAATTCGATTTCTAATCAGAAAGTATGATTTGCTTTGAGTGTTCTAGGTAATTAGCTAACTGTCAATATACTTTGAACGAAATGGATAACACAGATAGCTAGTTAATCTCAAACTTAAAGGGAGTGTACGCGTAATTTCAAGTGACCCTCCGCACAAAGAGGGCGATACCCGGTTTACAAAGGTACACTTTACACTACTGTCTGTTTATTGAGTACAGATATCTCTACCGGTCAATCTTCCGAGAAGCGCTGAAATCCCTGTATGTTCAGCATTATTAAAATATTCGGAAGAAAACATTCATTTTCTGACACGTCTCGATAGTGAATGTTAACACTTTTTTAATGCTGTTTTAAATCTGACACGCTAACTCGAAGAAATGTAGGGTCACTTGAAATCATGTCTTCAGTTCCTTAAAATATACGTTTTTTAATATTTGTGTTGTTAGTATTCCTAGTAGAGTATTTTTTTGTTGCTGTAAAATTGTCTCAAAAAAAAAATCACACATATACTGAGTTATAGCAATAATGTCGTCTGCCTTTCCTTTCTTTTTCCAGTTTTATAATTTTCACATTCATTATTATGAATTTTAAAGTGTAATCTTGTTATTGATATGGATTAGTAGAGGTTTAAAGTGTAATCTTGTTATTGATATGGATTAGTAGAGGTTTTCTGAAGAGTTTTGTCAATAAGTGTATTTTCGTGGATTTTTCCCGCGTTAACTGGATTCTCCGGAGCACAGTGTTAATTGATGTTCCTGGAGAGAGAGGGAGGGAGGGAGGACAAACCCAACCCGTTTTACTTCCGACCCTCTCATGACGTCATATGGTTTTAGAAGATTCTTTTACTGAATTGCACGGCAAAAGACGACATTTTATTTTAAAATAGTTTTTTGTTAGTGTTACAAAAATTATTTGGAGTGAGAAGATTATCGTCAGCGGATGTCTAAATTAATGCTGCATTCGTCTATAATTAGCATACAAACGTTTTTCACTTTTTGCCAAAGGAAAAACGGATGTGGGTCGGAGTCTATAGGGGGTAAGCGCTTGCCGCTAATACAATTTTGTGACGTCATTTGTTGGTCGGAGGTAAAACGGGTTTGGGTCGCCTTCCCCCCATCCCTGGAGAGGGAGAGAGGATAGTTCAGAGCGGAGCTGAGAGATTTATCATTTACTCTGACCAAACTTTAATCTTGCGCAATAGTGACATAGTCGGTTACAAACCATGGATAGATTCAGACCTACAGGGTTACCCATAAAGGATGAGACTTCAGAAACGACTTTATGGAACTTTTTACTGTCTTTTTTCTTACAATTATCTGCAACTGTAAACTTGGTTCTTTGTGTAATCACTGAAAAGGCCATAAAAAGACATCTTCAAGGAAGAAGACTTAGTTCAACCTTGAAATCGTAATTATTCAAATAGTTTTTGGTCGTCTTTACAGTCTCATCACATCCTATGTGGGTAACCATGTAATAAATACATACAGGGTGTACAATATCATATTGGATTGTTTAAAGAGCTCAAATTATTGATTAAGGTAGATACGCTTACCAGGTTTTTTGGGAAATAACTATAATAAAGGAACTCAAGAGATAGATATATTTATTTCAAAGAAATGAGTAAGTAAATCTGTATTTGTAGACATCTATCTTAATCAATAANGATTACTTATTTTCGACGATAAGAGTTAATTTTTATTTTCTCAACCTGTTAATAAACAACTAATTAGTTTACTGTAGAATGTTTGCTACATTTTTTGTCGTCGTTATCTAATAATAAAAAAAAAGATTCTCAAAACGTACCCATCCAAATTGACAATTTTGTACGTCGACTTCGCGCTCAAACTGCGTAATTTTAGATCTTTAAAACGTTTTATATGTCTCAAATCAATCCTAAAAAATTACTCTACAATACTGCAATCTCAGTTCAACCCCCATACATTGCCGGTCACTCCCTTTAAAGTAATTTTGATTACATATAAAAACTAAATTAAATCTAAAATAGAAAAAAATTAGAGAAAAATAAAGATTATAGATGTAAAAAAGTTGTTTATTCCATGAGGCATTAAATATGACAATTGAATATTTATTTAAATCCCAAACTAAAGGTTAAATTCGGTGTTCTGCTCTTGAGTAAACTTTGTTACACAGAAGTGTGAAGGGACTTTCATTAAAAAAAATAAAACAATTTAATCATAACAGGAAAATGATAAATAGCACCTTAAGTTGTGAGAAAAGTCCAGGACAGAACTTAGGAGACAAAATCCATTTTTTTTCGGAAAAAAAAATTAGACTTAACAGGTGATACAAAAATCAAATCTTTCCAAATTTTTTATCATTTAATTCATTAATAAAAAAAGCTATTTAACGCTTCATAAACAATTTTCATAATGAAATAATATTTGGTTTGCCAATTAGTTTGTTTGTATGCGATAAACGTCTAAACACCTGCACCGATCAGGCCCAATTTTTTGTGGTAACTAACATGAACCCAGGAAAGGATCACCTTACCGGTTAAAATATAAAACACAATTCTCAAAAATAGTTTAGACTTGAAAAGTTTGTTAAAATAAAAACTGAAAAATCTAGGAAATTAGTTTTTAAGATGAACGAAGAAAAAGTGTAGCCTAGTAATACTTTAGTCTTTAGTCTTTATAAGCATTAATTTTTTTTTTAAATTGGATAATAATTTTTTTTGTTCTTTCTTAAATTTGAATTTACGCCTAAAATTGCGTATTATCTAAAAAATAACTTACTGTTTATGTGATTGTGGAAGTATCATTTTTTTAGAATGATAGAATTAGTGATTTTATACTTTTGGTTCTTTCTTACTTTTTCAGGTATTTTACAATTTTGTGGTTAGAAAAATAAAGAAATTAACGAGACTGTATCTTGTAAAAAATTAATTTCTTAAAATTATTGCTTCAAATTGTTAAAAAAAAAGATACAGCATGGGGAGGGGGGGGAGGGGGGTTACTCCCACCAAACATATTTGTGGCAATTATAAAAAAAACAAGACTGTAAGAAAATAAGTATTTTTTGCTCATGTTCCAATTGTTTCCAATTGTTTGTTTTTTTAAAAAGGTTTTTTTTGTTGAGCACAAA